ACTAAGTCTCATGGACGTTCCTGCCTATGATCCTCAGATCTTAGCCTCCTGAGTAGCTAAGATTACAGGCATGAGCCACTAGTACCCAGGTAAAATTACTCTTTATAATTAGTCATTCTTTTATATTAAAAAAAAACTATTTTGTGGTGGCTTATACTTGTAATCCTAGCTGAGGGACAGCGCCCAGGCCCAGAGTTCAGGACCCACAACTGACAAAAAAAAAAAAAAAAGATTTAGCCCAGGGCCCTACATATGCTCAGCAAATTTATACCACAAACCAACCCCCTGGCTCTATTGTGCATTGCATTTCTTTTTTTTCTTCACTTCCCTGTGATAGAGTGGAACTTACATACTCTATTTCTCTTCCTTCTATGTTTATCTTAGCTATCTGAACGTATTTAATTAGTTAAAGTTTAATGTTAATCAAAATATTCCCTTGTCTTAAACAATTCAGAGATTTTAAACATGTCGATGGCTTCCTTCCTTACTGTCTTTTGTGTCTGGAATTTTAGTTCTATTTTTTCTTAATTTTGAAAAGTAAAATAATTATTGGTGTTAATACAATCATTTGTAAGGATTAATTATGTATTCACAACATCCTAACAATTTCTATATGTATCTCAGATCTCCTTTTTTATTATTTTTGGAGCGGGTCGTGCCAGGGTTTGAACTCAGGGCCTCCCATTCACTCTGTTTGCTCTATCTAGCTGTTGTTCTATCATTGAGCCACTTCCCAGCTCCACATTCTGCTGGAGGTGACTTCTCTCAGACTCTTCTGCTTTAATCAAGAGTCCTCAGATCTCGACTTCGGAGTAGATAGAATTACAGGTAAGACATAGAGCCCGGCCCAGACCTTCCTCTTGATACTGTTTTCCTTCATCCTGAAGTACATTGTATTCGTCAGCTGATTGGGCATAACACACCAATGCAGACTGGTTGCCTTAAAACGAGAAATTCAACTGTAACCCCTTTGTACAGTATCTTTGCAAATATATATATATACAGAAATTCAGGGGATGAGGAGTCCCAGTTCGGTGGGAGACAGAAGTAAGAAGATCATAGGCCCAGGCCAGCCCCCAGCCAAAGTGAAAGACTTTTTCTAATAAATAAAGCAAAGGTTTGAGGGCGTGGCTCCAGTGGGAGGAGCGAGGCTTCGCTGTAGAGGCGTGGCTCGGCAACTAGGGCGTGGTCTGGTTGTGGGCGTGGTTCACATGGTAGGGGCGTGGCTCACATGGTAGAGCTGGCACTGCCTAGTAAGTTCAATTCCCAGTTCCGTCCCCCAACCCAAAGAAAACTCCAGAAATCTATGTCCCCATGAGGTGTGAGCATCCTCCTGTGGTCAGCCCTTTGTGCGTTGGCAGTGATCTCTTCTTACAAAAACCCCCTTTGCTTGGGTTCAAGGAACCCTCCTGCCTTGGTTTCTGGAGTAGCTGGGCTGTAGACTTGCATCACTGTGCTTGTTTAGTTTTGTTTCTTGGGGCTGAGGATTAAACCCAAGGCCTTCCACATACTAAACAGCAACTCTTTCAGTCCCTTGAGGTTTTTTTGTTTTGTTTTTGTGGCCGTACTGGGGCTTGAACTCAAGGCCTGTATGCTGTTCATTAACTTTACCACTCAAAGATGGTGCTCTACTATTTGAGCCACATTCCACTTCTGGCTCTTTGGTGGTTAATTGGGAAAAAAGTCTCACAGACTTTCCAGTCCCGGCTGGCTTTTGAGTTGCAATTCTCACATCTCAGCTTCCCAAGTAGCTAGATTACAGATGTGAGCCCCTGGCACCCGGCCTTGGGTTTTCATTTTTAATGTCATATGATGTATTGGACTTACAGATTCCTCACCACATCATTATTATTTTAATGTGTAGTGTCTGTTTCCCAAAGCTTCACAATAACAGTAATGTGTCAACTTACTGTGTATTAAGAGTTGGGCTCTGAGCTAGAGCAGTCTACTTACTTAACATTTATCTTTACGGATGAGGAAACTAAGTCTCAGAGATGTCAAAAGTGACTCTGTCAAGGTCACATAGAACTAGATGGTAGAGTCAAGTTTCTAAGGTTTCTCCTCCCAGCTCACTTGATAGCTGGACAATGTCTGAGTCAGGCTGCATGGCCCGTCCAGGTTCTGCAATTTAGTATCCAGCCTGGGACTTAATTCTGCTCTTATAGCCACATTAGCCTCTCATTCCTCCCAGTGCCACACAAAAGAAAGATGAGACCAGATCAGGGGTGTGGAAACAGTCTAAAAACGATAGGCTGCCACATAAATGTAAGGTGTAATTATGAGATTACTATTTGGTATGGAGGTCACTCAGTTATTTCAAGCATGTTAGCCCCTTGATAAATATAAAGGAGGTATCCAGAGACCTCATCAATTTCCACTTTAGATACCACTCACAGTAATTTCTCCCATAAAAATGCCATAACCTGTCACTCAAAAACCGTAAGTGACCCTTTAAAAAATTTAATGATTAAATGCAGGCATCAAGTTATTTATAAAGATGTAAAGCTATTTGTAAATGTTGTCAGGACTATTTGCTGAAACTTTCCTGTTGAATTACTTCTTAATTTTTTTTCAACTGAATAAAGAAGAGATTCTGGTCTGAGTTCCATGTTTCTTTTGTTTTGGTTTGTTTTGGTTTCCTTTTTTTTTTTTAAGTTTTGCTCAGCTGGTGCTCTACCTCTTGAGCCACACCTCCAGCCCCAGTTTTTGCTGGTTATTTTGAAAAGAGACTCTTGTAGACTCTTCTGTTTTGAGCTGGCCTTGAACTACAGACCTCTAGATTCAGCTTCCTGAGTAGCTAGGATTTACAGATGTGAGCCACCAGTGCCCCATCAGTCATTTCTTTACTGGCTTAGATTTCCCTATTTTTTTTTTTGTCTAAGAAACATTACCTTCTTTAAGCTCTTCATTTCACTTTTATTATAATACTATAATATAATGTACTGGAGTTTGTCTTTCTGTAGGAGGCTTTCATTTCTAAAATACTGGGGATTGAAGCAGGGTTTTATGAATGCTAGGCAAGTATTCTACTGATTGAAATACATCCCTCAGCACCAGACTTTCTTTTTAATCACTTTTCACAGATATACTGGGTAATGCATTGATTTGTAACATACAATCTCATTACATGGGTTACAGCATTTGTACCTATGCTTTTATGTAAATAATGACCGACTAGTGAGTATTTAAGGTACTATGAGGTTTTACATCTTTGAGTTAAATCCTCAAATATCATAGTTATATGGTTGAGATTTTAGTCTCTACTTTCAGTGATTTGATGAATGTGTAAATTTATTTGTGGTAGTCAGGAGTTGATGCTCATGCCTTTGATCCTAGTTACTTAGAAGGCTGAGATCTGAGAATTATAATTTGAAACCAACTTGGAAAGTCTGTGAGATACTTATCTCCAGTTAACCAGCAAAAAAGCTGCAACTAGCGTTGTGGCTCAAGTGATAGAGTGCCAGCCCTAAGCAAAAACACTTAGGATAGCTCCCAGGCCCTGAGTTTAAGCCTCAGTACACACACACACACACACACACACGTGCGCACATGTGTGTGTATATGAGTGTATGTGTGTAGGCTGCGATTTTTTTTCATTATTTATTGGCCATACTGGGCTTTGAACCCAGTGGCCTCACACTTTCTAGGCTGTCACTCTACCACTGGGCCACACTCCCTCCCATGTCCCTAGGACCTGTTGTTTTCATGATTATGCAAAAACTATCTATAAAATTTAATGGAATCACATGCATTAATTGTTCTTTTAATTGGCCACATTCCAAATTAGAACCAGAATGCTATAGTAAAAAAGCAAAATTAAACCAGGCTTTGCATAGCCTTAGGTCAGTTTTGTTTTGTTTTGTTTTCTCTGCTAGTCTTCATTGTATTCACCTGTCCACAGTCACAGAAGATAAGGGACAAGATAATCATCAAGATTCTGGTTACTCAATCTAATCAATCAGCTGAGCAACTTGTGGGGGGGGGGAGTGGCAGCAGGGTCAGGATTCAGCTTCAATAGATCTGGGACAGGTTAAGAATCTAATAATATCAGGGCTGGGAGGGGGGGGGAGTGGTAGATTGCCTATCTAACATGTGCAAGGCCCTGAGTTCAAATCCCTGTACCTCCCCCTCAAAAGAGACTCTACATAAGATCAGCTGACATATATCAAGAACATATTTGGGGCTGGCACAATGCTGCTTTACAGGTCATGTTCTCAGTTCATATCTTCAGAGTCATTGGAACAGAAACTTAGAAAAGAAAGGGAAGCTGTGTAAAATTTTATACAGGTATAGTTTATTATTATTAAACAAATGGTACAGTGATCAAGTGGTGCTTTTTTAACTCAGGCCCTAAAACTCCAGACTCCCATCACTATGTTATATAAGACTGTCTTGGGGGAAGAGTTTTGGTGATTAGCTCGCTTGCTGGGGAGGGGGGCTCTTGAACTCTGGGCCTGGGCACTGTCCCTCAGCTCTTCAGCTCAAGGCAGTGCTCTACCACTTGAACCACAGAGCCACTTCCGGTTGTCTAGTGGTTTATTGAAGAGTCTCTCGTACTTTCTTGCCCGGGCTGGCTTTGAACCGCGATCCTCAAATCTCAGCCTCCTGAGTGGCTAGGATTACAGGTGAGCACCGGCACCCCGCTAGTTCGCTTTTTTAAAAAGCCACTCAGGAGGTTCATGCAACCCTCAAAGATTCATTTGTTTAAAATGTATGGCCTATCCCCCTCCAGTGTTTTTGAAAGGAAAAATAAGATGAGGAAAAGCGTTCTCCTTCAACACAACAAAAGCAGCTGAATCTCGTTGGTGTTTCCTAGCTTTCCGGCCACGTCCCTGCGGACTCGGGGAAGATCCTGGTCTTCACAGGCTGACCCAACCTGGGAACCAAGCGAGGAGCTTTCTGTACACCTGGCACTTCTGGCCACACCCCGTAACGTGAATTCTCCAATCCCATGTCCGTTCATCGTGATGGACATGCTCTTGAGACAATTATAATTGGTCATGGCGGACGGCCGCTCCACCTCTCCAGCGACCCCGCCTCCCTTTCATTCTGAAAGAAAGAACCTCTCCCGGATACCCAATGAGAAGCAACTCCACAACAAAGATCCCGCCTCTTTCGGCACCGACCCCGCCCCGAGGGCGGCAGAAGAGCCCGCCCTACAACTCGAGCTAGACCAATAGAAAAACTCTACTGGCCGAACGGAAAGCCGCTGGCCCAATCCGCGGGCACTCACGCGGCACCGCCCCGCCCGCCGCGCCCTGACTCACCCCCTCCCC